GTGATGTCAGTCCCGTCTTGAGGTTCCCAGCATTCATGTCGAGAGAGTAAAGGATCATCACTCAGAAGAGCAAGCTACAATACGCAAACACGAGTAAAGCAACAAACGTTACCTGTTATCCTTTGGCCGTGATGACTGACATCCGTTGAACCGCATGCGACATTCACCGACCTGTGGATGAAAACGGAACAGTCCTGAATAGAAGCCCGCATGACCATGATTAAGAGCAGAGGACCAATCAAATTCAGTTTACGAACGCTCAGCACTGCCCGAGAGCATCTATGTCCGCCCGTTCGCTAAGAATCATCAGCAAAAACCGCGAAAAAAAATGTTAACGCAAAAGAGGCAAGCATATGCGAAGATAAAGATTAAGTGCACTGGATATGAAGAGACGCACTGACCTTGCACTGTCAACTGGCAGCGGTGGTGACTTGGGCATCCGGACGCAAGTGTAGATCGAACTGAAACAGAGACGACTGGTCAGCTAAACTTATCCATAAAACCAGGGATGCGGAGCCGTGGAAATTTCAGACGGCTCCGGCTCCGGCTCCGGCTCCGGAGAAAAAAATCGGCTCCGGCTCCGGCTCCGGCTCCGGGTGAAATGGTATGGCGGCTCCGGCTCCGGCTCCGGCTCCGAGTAAAATGGTCCGGCTCCGGCGGCTCCGGCTCCGGCGGCTCCGGCTCCGACTCAGTACATCCCCTACGCAATCAATTAAATACGGGTGGAAGAAAAATTGGATTGGTTATACGCGTTACTCTTTGCCATGACCGGCTCACCGCGTCCCCGCGCAAACGCACCTCGGAGAGAACTGGCAGAACAAAGGGCTAGGAAGCGATGGCATTGGAAACGCAGTCGCCGCGAATCGGATCGGAGTTCAGTGAACCATCGTAAGCTGACACCCGTCTCGGCTGCATTGGGGGGTGAGGGGTGGGGGGGGATGAGACGGTGCTGGGAGTCGCAGTCCACTGCACTGGTTTGAAAACAATGGCCGTCACCTGATGACTGGTCCTCATGTTCTGGGGATGCAGTAGACGTGGGGGGGGGGGGGGGAAGAGCAAACAGGAAGTTGTTTGCGTACTGTGGGATACTGGGGATATTCGGATTTTTTCATTCACTTGATGGCCCATGACGTAAGTACCATATCGTTTTACTGCCTTGTACTGTCAAACCGAACTAGGTCAATTATTTTTTTCCTCTTCAAAAAATAAAAAGGAGCCGGAGTCGCCCCCTTTTTTGGCGGCTCCGGCTCCGGCTCCGGCTCCGGGCTATATTGTTTCACGGCTCCGGCTCCGGCTCCGGCTCCGGGCAAAATATGCCGGCTCCGGCGGCTCCGGCTCCGACTCCGGCTCCGGCTCCGCATCCCTGCATAAAACAGCATCGCTTATCTTGTGTCAAACTGTCAGAGAGTACAAAAGTTATCACTCACAACCTGCGTAACAGGCTAGTGAAGGATCGACTGGAAAAACATCATTCACGACTGGCCGTGATAAAAGTTGCTTTGTACAACGTCGAACTGTTCGCTTACCTTCTTCAAACATTTCAGATTCCTCCGACATGAAGGCAGTGCAGACCGAAGCCAGAAATTCTAGCTCGGTAAAACAAACGATCTCCTCCTGCGGAACAAAGTTTAGGAGTCACCAGACCAGCCAGAGGTAGCATCGTTGAATTTTGATCGATATTGTTTCAGAATCCTTTTGATAGAATCATTGCTGTTCACTTTATATTTTTTCATCACCTGAAAACTATGAAAAATGAGCATCCCCGGCGCTACAGCACGCGTCGCAACTCACCTGTCCCAAAGACCTGCGATGATTCGCAGTTCACAGCGTTTCAGCCTGGCCCACTTGACACGCCGTCCAGATCTGTGGTAAAAATCTTGCATTTAACGGACAGAAATACATCTAAATGATAATTACTTCGTAACAATGATCAGCAAAGAATTTAGTGTCATCCAGCGAGGTCAACAGTCTAACATGTACATCATGTTTACATTATACGTCATCCTGAACAAGCTTGACAACGCTCACCTTAAGTTGTCGGCTAATCGTCAGGCGGGGAGGTCCCATACCACTCTCCAAACCGCACCTGCGGGAGCAGAGGCCTCTTTGTGAAACAGGAAACCGTTACAACACACTGGACGAAACGGATGTCCATCAGCGTGAGGTTTCGTGTCATCCGAAAAGTCAACAGTCTAACATGTACGAACATCACCTGGACATTTAACCTCATCACAAGCCTCATTCATTCAGTGTATTCACTCACCTTACGGAAGTTGACGATACGTTCTCGCTCGGAAATCCAGGCACTGATTCCACCTGAAATGGACAAAAACTGTTAAAATCACTGGCAGCGGTAATATATCCGCACAGACGAATTCAGAAGTCAGTCCGCCCTAGGATCGTCACTAGGTTCCGATATTTTCTAACCGTTTGATCAAGAGTGTTATCATCATATAGAGGCATTAGTAAGGTTTCGTAACTCATTATTCGCGTTACTCACCACATAATGTCCCAGAAGGTAGACCGGATACGCTAGTTCCGAAATGTCGGGCGCGCAGAGAGACCCTGGTCCCATTCTGAAACGTAGAACGAGTCCCAGGTCAGCAACAGCGAGAACAAGGGCGGATATTATCGATGGAAGCAACCATCAGCCGCGTCGTTTTATCTCCAGTACAAAGTGTCAAAATTGCAGGACGTTCTCATCATTATTCATTAAAAACATACGGCTATGTTTAGACCATACATTATTTACTCACCATTGATATAGCACGGGCAAGACGGCGGCAGATACGAGCTGAAGATACCCCTCTGAAATAGAGGCGATGGCTGCATTAGTGTTTGGCAGAGTGAGGGGTGATTGGGTCATTGGCAGTGTTACATCAGTCCTATCATTTGGTAATCAAAGCAATCATTGGATTGGCTCTATGAAATCATCACATTATTGTTTGCAGTCACTAGTCAGAAGCAAATATTCAAGTAAAGTAATTAGGTCTCACCTCTAAAAAAAAAAACATCCAGATCTTAGGCCTCCACATAGGCTGCTCCTGTGGAACAAGGAAGGCCCGTTAGCATAAGTTCACGACGACACATACATCAGTGATGAAATTCAAACTTCAGAAGGAAGGCAGCATTATCGGCGAATCAACATAATTTGTCAGCCAATACCATCGAGTGTGCATCATTGCAATGTTAGCATTATAGTAATATTAACTTCACGCATTAAAAGATATTCCAAGTGCAAGTTTTGCGAGCGACCCACCTGGCGAAGAGCATTAGCCATCGTTCATCCACCATCCATCAAAGATCCATCCAGTTTGCGCTCCGGCGGCGTCCGTCTGCAAAGACACGAGTCTCGTCAAACAACCGTGCACCATCACGAACACGACAGCTCGAGGGCAAGCCATCAGGGCTACAAATGTCTCCACACACTGTCAGAGCGCGAACAGTAGACAAAACTCATCACGGTAAACAGTAACAAATTCACAGGCTATGACAATCCACAGAGACGTCAACATACCTGCACGCTGCATGATGTTGCTGAAGCGCCGTCCTGAAGCCATAAAGGTCTGAAAGATAAAATTGATAGGTTAAAGGAGCTCTAACAGCGGTTACATAAGAATGCATCGATGAATGTATCAGTTAGATAAGTTTTCCGGCACTGGCAATAGGAAGAACGAAAGTATTGAACATCATGAAAATAGTCACGAGTCCACAATATAATATCAGGCGTAAACAGCTCACAGAGAGTATCTCACCGAAAATATCATTTGGAGCGGCAAAGAAATCCGTTTCCTGCGACTGGCTGCCTCGACTTCCGCAGGACTGGAAAAATAAGATCATGGGTTTAGAACGCAGACGAGCTAATATAGCACGCATAAGTGGCGCAGCAAATATCAGCTTGGGTATGCTTTCCTTCAATAAGAATTAGGAAGAACGAAAGTATTGACCATCATATCAGCTTGATACACAAAGTACCTGAACGGCCCAGGTCTGCGTAATGTACTGTATACTTCCTCAGAAAAACACGGGACAGCTGCCACTTGCAGGAGGGCAGCGGTGTTCTAAAATTGGATATTGGTTAGGTGTGCCGATGGAGAAAAAAATCCTAGGATGAGAAAAAAAGAAAGGAAATAACCGAAGTATTTTTGCAATATGGTGTAATGCCAATTTTTATGCCAACTGATAAACCAGGATTTCATGTTAGAATCTTGACAGGGTGTGAAACAAAAGGATGTGGGTGCATCAACTGTCAAGTGACATGCGAACTTGCTGTTGGGAATACATGGAACTCTTTTCAGAGATGAAGTGAAGTCGGTCATTCATATTTTAGGGATGAAAATATTTTCCCCATTAGGTGTGATTTGCCACCAAAAAGTCTGAAAAATGGAACACTGGAGAGCAGCCAAAGGGTAACTCACCAGCTGTTTTAGCCGACTGTGTACTGTGTAGTCCCGTGCCGGACAGCTGTTATTGCAGGATGTCGTCCGATCAGAGGACGGCACTGTAGAATCGGGGCACCGAGGTCAGACACCAAAACGCCCGATTGAGTCAGGTGATATGTAATTCACATTTTTTCAGCCATACGAAATCCTCACGGAGGTAGGTTTAGAGGGATCGTGCGGTCATCATAAACCAGGAGGGCCAAATCAGGGCGATTATAGTTCAGTTTCTCACCTGAAGATATATCAGCCGTATCCGGTGCCGACACCGACGTCTGACTGTGACAATCCCGGACCTGGGGAAAAAGTAACTCTGGAAAAGTTGTCTGGGAACCTATTAAAGCTTCATAAATTTACTTAAGTGTTCAAAGCCATTCAGACCACATTACATCTGCAGCATTCCGTACAATACAAAGTACTACTTACTTATTACAAGTGGCACTTGCGTTCGTTTCGTCATTGTTCCCTGCCCTTCCAACCGACCAAAACCGTTGTATAACAATTGCATTTGTACATCAACATCAGGTCATATGAATGGTATCAGCATAGAACACACAAGAGTGTCTCCCACGAGTGAGGCATATATTTTCGGCAGTCGGGACAGTTTAAATCATGCGCTTCAGCAGCTCGTTGATCATGCCCTCCCGGTTGCCGAAGTCGCCGCCCTCCACGAAGTGAGTCGACTTGCGGTTCCATCCGCCAGTGGGCGTGGACAGCTGCCAAACACACCAACAGACAAAATGTCACGAAAGATCGCGGTTGGCAGCTATTATGACTTCGAACGATGTCGACATTACATCCATACGAGCTTGTCTGGTCTCGAAGTAAAACGAAGTAATCCGAAACCTAAACCCATTGAATGAATCATAACGAGATATGAAAAAAATGGCTGGACAAATCGTCCAATACAGCAGTAATTCGCTGAGTGTTTAAATAAACGAACTTTGACCCTAGAAAACTCCACAAACTTCAAATCCCTCACTGTTCGACACAATAACCAATTTCCCAGAACCGCTCGCTAACCTTGAACGGCCAGAGGAAGTTGGTGACCTTCCTGAAGTTGGGGCCGACCGTGAACACCTCGTGGACGATGTCCTCGACGCAGATGATGTCGCGGTTGCCGAGCTTGCTCTCGATCAGCTCGTTGCTGGTGATGGGCAGCCGCTGGTTGTTCACCTTGACGAAGCCGCGCTTGTAGAGCAGCTGGCGCACCGTCGACAGGCTCGGGTAGCCGTAGGCGATGTACGGCTCCGCGATACGCAGCATGTTGATGGTGGCCTGGTGAGGAGGTGGGCGTCAGTACGGCGGGCATTACTGAGAGCCACAACAGGTGCACGCACATTTTTGACCGATAAAGACCGATACATTACTGCCCGAACTGGATTTTCGAAACAATGATTGCAATACTCCAACGCAAATACTTTTTTAACGCAAGGCACACGCTAACCTATTGCTCCACTCCTTATCTTTTCTACACACGTCAATTTACTCGACAACCCTGGCCTCGACTCACCGACAGCCAACGCACTGCGTGCTCTCTCACCTTGTTCAGTTTGACGAAGACGCCGTTGTTGATCTGGCGCAGGCGCAGCAGCTGCAGCACCTTGCGCACCTTGGGGTGCAGGCCGAGCACACCACGGATGCGCACCACGAACGCCAGCTTGGCCTCCTCCGGCACGTAGAAGTTGCCCTCCTTCTTGGCCTCGCGCTTCAGCCGGATCACCTCACGCTCACGCTCGCGGTACTCCTTGACGTACTGCTCGGCGCGCTTGAAGATGACCTTCCTCTTCTGCTTGCGCTGCTGCCGGTCCTAAGAACAGACAAAGAAAGAACTAGTCAATTATGGGCCTGAAGTTGTCAAAATCAAAAGCAGGTTGCATGGTCATGTCGCGAACATGCAATTACCAACAACATGATATTAAATGATGCATGATTAACCCGCGCACCAACCAACTTCGTACCGACGGGGGGGGGGTGCCCCCCCCCTCCCCCCCCCCCCCGAGATCTCGGGAACAAAGCAAGATAGCGACAAGCGGTAAACGGCATGGGATACGCACGGACAAGGTCTACAATTTTTACGAAGATCATTTTCAGGTCAGGTCAAAGATGACGTCACAGGGGTCAAAAAAGTCAAAATGGAGGCGCTAGATACGGATAGTTTTTTCTCGAATAACTTTCGAACTAGTCAAGCTAGGAACAATCTAAGGGCATGATCGTGATCCTCTCGTCAATCCGCATGAAATGATATATATATTTTGACCTCGAAAGGTCAAGGTCAAAGGTTGACCTCAGGTCAGGTGACCTCGATGTCATGTATATCATTCGATGCGTCTTGACGAGCTGAACACAATGAGACCATCCGCGCGGCTGTATCTTGTTCCTGTACGGCAGTGGTCGGCAGGTCCTCCGGGGTCGTGCCCCCCTTTTTTGGCGCAAGGCAGCGCCATTACCCCCACCTGCCAGGCCCCATTGGTGATATAACCAAGTTTAGTGAAATTCCATACTTTTCCGCGACTCTTTGGGTACCATATCTGCGAGAAACCATAGCCCCCCCCCCCCCCCTGCGGTTTCTTGCAAATATTTCAAAAACGTTGAGCGCCACCATTTTGTCACATTTTGTCATACATCTTTTTCTGCACATGTTGTGAAAATTTCATGTTGTGAAAATTTCAGACCAAAGTCGCTCAAAGTCAGGTCACCAGATCACGTCAAGTGACCTCACCTCAGTAAAGACTGTAACGCCTGTTGTAGCTACACAGAGTGACAGATCTCTTTCAAACTTTCAGGAATTGATAAAGGCAACAGCATGTACAAAATTTGTATCTCGGAGATTTAATGTCTGTGACCAAAGGTCAGCTCACTTTCACGCCCTCTCTCGTTATCAATGGGAGAGGTCGCAAAGTCAATGGTAAAAATTGAAAGACGCCTCTTTTGGACGAGTGTCATTCCTAACACTGTGAAGCACTGAACCACAAGTAAACATGACCACTGAACCGGAAAACTACACCCGCAACCCCGCCATGTATGTCCCTGAGGTCATTTCAGGTCGTGAACGGTATCATAGTTTTTCGCTAATAACTTTTGATAAAGGCATGCCAGAGCGATGAAAATGCCTTAGATGTGTTTAGCTCGACGACACTGATGTGCAACAAGACCTTCGATGCTTCTCGACGGGAGGAGCACGATGCTGATAAAAGTGCGCTCTTGCAAGTTCTGAGTGAAACGCTATATTGAAGAAAAACTAGCAGCAAACAACGTACATTTTATCAGCAAACAAAGTACATTGTAGCAGTTTTTGTCTCCTGAAGGCTAAATCGTTATTCATTAGGTTAAATCTGGGGGCGTCATCAGAAAGAACGGAATTGCTAATTGAGCTAATTGAGTATCGAATGCGTTTTTCCACAGCGCTCTAACTCTATCCTTTCCTGAGCTATAGGCCAGTTTGTCGAAAATTGTCAAAGGTTGACCTGGAAATTGGCGAAATTTTACGTTCGATGACCTCTGGTGAGCTGACCTTTGACTTGACCTAAAAAGTGACTATAGTTTTCCTTCATCATTTCTTACTCTCTTTCGAACGCCGACTACGGCGTTTCGCTAGTGATCCAGGAGCCAAGTTAGTAAGGGGTGTTCAACCTCCACCTCCAGCAGGGTGTGGATACCCAGGAGCCCCATCGGGGCGCGGGTTAACCCCCATACGCATAGGGGTAGCGGGTATTTTTCGGGAATAGAATAGATCACGTTAAAAGGGTGGGATTACGAAAAATGTACCCTCGAGCCGATCATCTTTATCTGTCCTGAAAATGGCATGACCTTAACCCGAATAACCGTTGATTTGTGAGATCTGTCTTGAGATCATGGCAGGCCACAAAATCTCACTTCAAGAAGTTACAGCAAGAGCCGATTTACTCGGGACTTGTCATTGACCTCTGGAAGGTCACCAAATGACCAAGAACCTTTAAATTGGGTAGCAGCGGCTGCCTATCTTCATGGGCAGCACGCTCAATTTTTCTGCAAAGCTCCAGCTCAGAGGCCGAAATGCTCGGGTCAGGGTGCAATGGACAACTCCTCTCCAGTCTCCCTTGCGTTAGTGACTGTGAAAACGCCAATAGGCGAGCGCCAGTTCATACATGACAGTTACTTTTGCGCGACTGTACGGAATGGTGAGCAGCTATGTACATACATGAAAATTGGCATGCGCCAGCTAATCAGTTCATGTTTTGTTCGTTTGCCCTCGACTAATCTTTGAATCCTGGGGCACAACAGTTGCGATGTCTGTCCCATCAAGGGAGCCATTAATTCTAAAAAAGATGAGGCTTTCTCAGAGGCCCTCATTACCCCCCGCCGAAGGGCGCCATTACCCCCAAAGGGGGCATGCCCCACCATTTGCCGACCCCTGCTGTACGGAGTTATTGGCAAAAAACCTTTGGTGACCTTTGATGACGTCACATGACCTTACAGCTGCCCAACAGCAAAACAGACCTCAAGGTAGTGAAGGTTGATTGTATATGAAGTCATGTATGGTATATGGGGCCATTCCGACCCGCTTTAGTGGTAAAAACAGGGAGTTCATTTTTCCCCCATTGACTTATAATGGGGAGGCCGAGAAATTGCCCTGACCTCAGGTCATCGATATCAAAATTCCGAGATATACAAAGTGTAGCTACTAATGACCTAATGACATCCTGCGACTTTCAAAGGCCTCCGACATCTACTGTAGCTCTGGCACGGCGACAAAGTTGCAAAAAAGTGACTTGAGGTTGGGTCATTCAATGTGACCTGGTGACCTGACCTTAACCCTAGAACGCCTAGGGGGGGGGGGGTTGTATCAACCCCCCCCCCCCCCCTGAGGTTTTTTCGAAGTGCACGCTAAACGGCTTGTCGTAGCGGGCTGAAATTTTCAATACCCTCTGGGGCAACCTTTGCGCATCTTTTGCCGAAAAAAAATTGATCGGGTCATGTCAGGTCACGGAGTTATGACGTCATAAGAGGTACAGCCTCCGGCCGACAGTTACCAAACGTGTGCGCCGAATCCCTAGGTTTTCTGCCGGTGATACCCACATTGTTTGATGGATCATGATGAAACTTCCCATGCATGTTGGGGCAAGCATTGGCTATCGTGTGGTGCAAGAAAATTGACCGGGTCAGGTCAGGTCACGGAGCTATGGCGTCACAAGAGGAACAGCGTCCGGTACTATTTTTGAAAAGCGCCCGAACCACTATTTTGCTAATTCTTGTCACCTCAATGGGAATATGCAGCAATATTAGCTTCTATAGAGAGCAAATGGACCTCCCAAATCCAAAAATACAATCAGATTTCAAAAATTTAAATTTTGATTTTTCGAATTTCTGCCGCCGACTGTGACCTTGCCGACTTCCGGCGCTCCCAACGCGCCATTTTTAGAGCTAGGGAAACGAAATACATACCAAACGATAGAGAATTGATCAAGGAACACGATAGTGAAGGTTTCAAGTCGATATCTCCCACCGTTTTGCCGCAATCGCCGCGGAAAGTTGAAAAAGTTTGATTTTTTCGGAAAATTTGACCTTTGACCGGTCATAAGTAGGTCAAATGTTGATCTAGGACCAAAAAATATACCACCAATCGCGAGATCTCGTTGAGAGCAATCCGTTGGTTTTTTCCGCTAAGCTCTACGACCTTCCGTTTCGAAACGCCAGGGGGGGGTCGTAACAACCCCCCCCCCCCTGGTCGTTCGTGTTATGAGAAATGGCCTGGTCGTGCGAGGGTTAAAAGTTAGGAGGTTCAAACTGGCACACTATGTGTAAAATTGATGAGAGAATTGTCGTACGAAATTTCGCGGCGCTACGCGCCGCGGTTTTTCCGCTATTCGCGAAAAACCTCAGGGGGGGGGGGGGCGGATATCCGCCCCCCGTCGCACAGTGTGGCCAAACGCCAGATTAGCGCGAATTTAATCAAAAACGAATTTTGGAATTTTGACTTTTTATACCTATCAGTCGATAGGAAATTGTCCAAAGTATGTCAATATCACAATACTTTGGTTCAATGTCTTCCTTTCGGTGTCCAAAACGCTAGCTTAAGTGGACATACGCAATGCCGGTCCCGGCTGTGCTGAAATCGTCGAAAACCCGCGTCACGTTTACAACACATTTTGGCGTAATTGTCGGAGAGGTTTGGAAATAATTGGAGTGGCATATGACTACTGAGCCTATATTTGATAGTATACCCGAATTCTATAGGTATCCTTGGACTAACCGATGAGTTATGCTCATTTGAAAATGACCTTTTCAGACATCCCTGAAAACATTGTCCATCTTAAAAACGTAGAGATATAAGAAAATGGCCAAAAACTCCACGCAAAATCTACCATGAGAGGATTTACCACACTTTTCTGGACATGATCCATTCAAGAAACCCTGCCCCAACTTGCCCCCCGGCCTTTGGCTCAGCTTTGAACGTATCGGGTTGGCCCGCCCGGGGAGGTCCGGCTACAGGGTGGGCGCGGCGGCGGCTCCGTAACGTTACGTGGATGGCTTAACCGCTGTATTTCTGACTTGTTATATTGCAAAATACGGTCGCCAATGAAAAAATCTTGGCAATTTTTAACCCTCGCCCATATAGGGGGTGAGGGTGGGGGTCGAAAGGACCCCTCTCGGTTTTTCGCAAAAAGTTCATTAAAAAGCGGCCGATCGCGACGAAACTTTCAGTACCCTCGAGTTTATCAATTTTACACCTACCCTTTAAATTTCACGACCCTGACCCCAATGACCTTAGACCTGTGACCTATTTCTCGAGACCGTGTTTGGCCGGAATCGCGATTGGGCGTATGTTTG